ATAATATATAATTTTATTTATTTACTTATTATTTAATCTTGTTCATTCGAATTTAGTATAATAAACAATTGGATGACTTTAATTTTTGTTGACAAGTTGTCACAAACCGACCAACCCAACCCGACCTGTGTTGGGTTGGATTGAATTTCAACTTTTACACGGGTTGTGTTGGTTTAAATTTTGATCAAACCGATCATGTTGGGTTGGGTTTGGGTTTGGGTTGAGGCAAAAACCTACCCAACCCAACCTTTGCCCAACCCTAAGTGGAGGTAACTTGTTTGGTCCCGAAGTTTTTCCTATATTGGGTTTCTCCATCCACAATTATTGGTGTTCTTTATTGTTTTCCATATTACAAATTGCGGTATTCAAACATAGAAAAATTGGACATGTATGTTTAATCATTTAGAAACTATTAAAAAATGACTTGTTGCTTTTAATAGAATAATTCTGCACGTACGGTCAAAACTAAAAACGAATAATTATTGCCATTCGGTAACTTAGTAACTGTTAATTTGGTAATCCTTAACTTTTATGTGGTATCCAGAGTGACACCCGATTTTTCAAATTGGACTGTCAAAACTTAGTACAATTAGAATCACATCCGTTAAATGTTTGATCATGGGATTTTAGGATTGCCCATTGATCGAGACTATTAAAAAACATAAGGGTTTTGCTATTTATATATTGAAGTTGACACCCCGGTGTATGAGGGGGCCCCACATCCAATAAAAAATCGTGAAATTTTCCACACCTTCATTTGTATCGAGTGATTTACAAGATGACAATTATTGCAATGGGTTTTTCTACACTAAAAATGAAGCTCTATACAAAGCATTCATTTTTCAGCCCATATTTACATTTCCCAAAAGATTTCAATTGGTACTTTCCTTGTGCCTATTTCGTTGTAGAAGGTTGGTTCATAGGTGCAACCTTTATAACTTCATGGTATAACCATGAATTTGTTAATTCCTATTTGGAAGACTGTAAATTCTTAACGGCTCTGCTTTAACCTCTCATTCAAAGTTTTAGGGCCAAAGATTTTGCCCTCGGAAATGATTCTCGAAGTGACAATGATTATGTTACACAAAAGAAACAATTGACACGATTTATTGTGACCAAAAAAAAAAGAGTTGAAATTAAGAAATTTAAGTGTAGGACAATATTTTTAAATACTCTATCTTGGAGAGAAACATTTCGATTCACAATAAATTTCAAGAAAGAAACAAAACTTAGAAACACGAAACAAAATTTACTGTGAGATATTCATTGAATGTGGTGACAGACCTCACAAAGTCACAATTGGTAATTCGTTTGATTACTGATACAAAACTTTCTTTGGAAAGGAGCATCAAAAGCAAGACTAATATTCTACACTACAAATGGCTGGCCTCTTCAAAATCTTAGGATTCCTGACTTTTAGCTGCATTTCATATTGACCCCTCTGATATCAGCGACACAAGCAACGTGTAATCATTTTTTTTCCACATGTTTTACTTTTGTACTCCTCAAAGAGGACACATGACGGTGTGTTTGATAAATATTATCGAGGAGAAAATATATTTTAAATAATGATATGATGAAAAATATTTTGATTAAAAACTAAGAAAAATTTATTGATGTGATTAAAAATATTATTTTATTGAAAAATGTGTGGTTAAAAATAAATTTTGAAATAATATATTTCGAAAGAATGTGTACCAAACATGAACTTATTATAAATGAATTACTAATTTTTTTTATTCCTTACTTTTCTTTTCAACCACACATTTTTCAATAAAATAATATTACACGCAAACTAAAAACTTTTTCACTCTTTAACCACACATTTTCACTCTTAAGTACACTAATTATAAATTGCTCCCTAAACGTACTTCTTTAAGGACAGGTGAAGCTTATTGGCTATCTTATAAATGTAAGATCCACCGTTTATGCGACTTATGAGATGCGATAAGAAGGGGCACGTGGTCTCTGTCTGCAACAGAGACATCACAGCACGGAAATAAGGAAGAAAACTCGTTACATATAGGGAAGGTGTGGTGAGCTTGGAAATAAAATACTTTGAGAGACCCTTCATAAATACATTCATGTATGATTGACATACAGTACTTGGTAGGGCTCAATAGTACAATATGCAAAATATATGCTTTTTCTTTTTTCCCTTTAATACTATCCAATACTCTGTGCACCTTCACAGACAAGCCATGAAAGTGTAGCACATTTGTAATTAACCTAACACTCAAGTTTCAGAGTCGGTACCTTCTTGATCTTCTGAAGGATTGTTGAGGGTGACGGAAGATGCTATAGCATTTCCTATATCCTGTAGTGCGTCGGGTGACAAATTCAGAGATGCTGCCTCATCTACTTCATCCGGTGAAGCATCATTTGACAAGTTGGCGACTATAGCAACTTCTTCAGTGCTGTCCAGGCTACCGGAATCATGCTGTTCAGGAGGTACTGCTTCAAATCTCAACGAAAAACGACGGGAAATAGGCGGTCTCACTATCACGAACTGGTGTTCTGGAGTATGCTGCTGGTTGAATCGGCCTGGAAGCTTGGGGGAATTCTTATAACATCCTTCGCAGAGGTCAAAGCCTATTTCCTCAACACAGTCTTTGCATTTGTATCGTTCCCCAACAATAGGATGCATCTGCATTAAATTTAAAATTACTCTGAAATTAGTTCCACAGTGAAAAGATAAAAACATATACTACATGCTTTGTATTTGCAAGATTGTATACACTCCGGCTCTGATGCATGAATTCTGCCTTGTTGCAAAGGCAAACCAGGGGAACTTTTCATTTTTCTATACAAACCTGTATATTGCATAGGTAAAGCAGTATCTTATTGAAAAAAATTAAAAAATTAAAAAAAAAAAAAATAATAATAATAATAAAACCTAAAACGAGGCTTCCCAACTAATCTCTCAAGATGAACCAACAGAACACCCTAATGGTTGTTTTCTTCTGAACTTGTGCCCATTACCTTAAATTCTAGAAGCATGCCCTTGATACTTCACACAGTGTTTGTTAATCAAGTAGTAGAGGTAATCAATAGAGACAGGAAAAAATAAAAAACAAAGCAAGTTTATTCTGTGTATACAAATTAAAAGAATTATCTTTATCATAAAAGCTTGATCTAGAATCGAAATGAGAATTTTCATAGGGAGATAGGTTTTTGGTCCTAGGCATATAGATGGGGTTAAAGATGGAGACTTTGCAACTTGTGATTGAAAAGGGAAGATACGGAAATTGAAAGTGAGGTTGTTGCACCTTACAGAGATTGTAATCGCAATTGTGACAGAGAAGGTTGCCGCGGCACTGGTGGTGGAAATGGGAGTTACGACCATGGCCGCAGCAGTTGTTGTGGAAATCAGGAATACAGTGGTAGCAGCAGTAGAAGCCATGAAATCAAAATGCAAACCAAATTGTTACTTTAGTTTACCAATCTTTGATGTTTTGGGATTTGTAAAATTTGGAAACTTGATTCTCAGATTTCTAGAGTTGAAGAAACTATAACTCAGAAAAAGAGATGATACCTTTTTCACATAGTTTTGCATTTAAAAAAGAGATGAAATATTTGGCGAAAGAAAGAGTATCTGTAATCTTTATTAAGCACTAGGTGATAGAACCAATCTAAAGAAAAAAAACTTGTAGAAACACAAACATAGAAAATATAATATTACTAAGCCATTTTTCTTCAGACATTACCTTGTGAATGGCAAGTTAAATAGAAAAGAAAGAAAAAAGATAATCATATTACCC